TGGGGCAGACCGACTGCGGAGGTGTTCGCGACCCTCGAGTTACCGCTACTGCACGCAGTTTGTCACACGTGAATTTTACAGAATTCCTAAATCTTACAACACAGCCTGCAGAGAAGCTGCTTTCAACGGAAAGTAATCTTTTGCTAAGTATACACTCAACTATGTAGCCAACTGTCTTAGCAGAAATAAATGGAGCAAAAGAAATAGTACAAAATCAGTGCACAGCACAAATGTAACACTTCAGAGGTTCCATGAAAAAAAAAAAGATACAGGCCCCCGGGGGAATTTTCAAGAGTGTGAAGGTGCCTGGCAGTGGGACTGCAGGAACAGGCTATCAGCTGGGGCCAACTTTGCGTGCTGCTGCAGGTATTTTTAACTGCCCCACGGGAAAAGGAGGCAAAGCAGCAGGGAAATTTGGGGAAAAGAGCACAAGCACACAGCTAAGCCAACAGTTTGCACCAGGGCTTAACACTGGAACAGCTGCTGGAGGGAGAACGGCTTGGTGACAGGAACATCAGCCTCGACACCCTCGGGCTGCACTCGAGTTTTCGTGTGATGCATCCCACCCGTCACACTCTCACAGAAAACAGAGCTCACAGTGTGACAGACTGTGTGCAGGGGGCCAGGAATTCATCTTTCAGAAGCAAACTACTGTCTATTATGAATCAATAACGACAACCAAAAAAAGGTCTTTACCTCCCTGAAATCTTGTGTAGCGTTAGTCTGCCATTCTCTGCTTTAGCAGTTACTGAAATGCTGTCATCTCTTATCTTGATCCCTAGGAGTTTACACTCTATAATAGAATACATTTTTAAATTGTAATATTTTTATTCTATTAAATACTGCACAAAGACATTTTAGCCAGTTTTGGCCAGCAGCAGTGGAAAGAAAACACCTCTAATGCATTTATAAGCAAGTTTATTTAGCTTTCTTATATGATATATATATATTGAGATATATATATGAAATATACTCACAAGTTATTAAAAAAGTGTCCAAACACAAGTTCTAGCACAGTACATTAAAAAGTGGTATTCTAGGAGGAATATCTGAGATCTACAGTATCTGGGCTTCAAGAGGAAATACCTCCATTAGACATTGTAGGCAGAAGAGGACACATTTCCTCCGTGGCCTGTCCAGTTAGTGTGGATAAATACACCTGGCTTCGATAGTAATTCGTATGTATGTGCACCAAAGTAATCGCGCTGAGCCTGGAGTAAGAACACACAATAGACACAGGAATATCAGAGTCATCTGAGTACCAGAAGTTGCATCTACTGATACACGACTACAGGAATACTAAAAATAAGATCTGACTCCGGTATTATAACAAAGTTATTTTCCCATTATTAGCAAAATCACTGCAATGAAACATTTACTAATATCTAGTAATTAAGAGTTCTGTAGAAAGACAAGTATATTATTTCTGCTAGGTACTAATTTAAAAAACCAAGCACTTACATCCAAAGATTCAACAACACTTACTTCTTTATAAAGCATTTTGATTCAAAGATGTCATCGCCCTTGGTTCGCAGACGGAATACTAACACACGCTGGGCACTATCACACCAACACCTCTGGTGTTCTTTATCCAGACATTTCATAGTATTTTATTGCCGTGACTTTCAGGTTTAGCAGAATTCTATTAGGCAATCTATGCCTTTATGTTTACAATGTTGGAGTGATTAGGACATATTGCCATCATGGCGTTTAGACCAGTATTTAAATAACGACATGATGATATTGCAGTAGCCAGATCTGCTACACTATTTCAGGCACCTACCTGAATCAGGTTAGCTGGTAATATTTCATGCCTGTATCCATCATAAAAAGAAAGTGCTGTAGTGAAGCAGGGCATAGGGATACCAATTTGCACTCCAGTACTGATCACACGTCGCCAGGAGTCCTGGGAGAGAGGAAAAGGGGCGGAAGAAAAAGTAAAGAAACTACCAGTGCTTGCTCAGAGGTATGTGCAGGCACACGAATATCCTAGTGTAATAGCATGTGCTATTTCACGTTATGTGAAATCTAATGACAAAGTCTGAGCAAACGCAGCAGTAGATTCCTGATTTTACATAAACAATGTTGATCCAAAATAACGGCCAGTAAGACAGAGTTAACAAACAGTGCAGTAAGAGTGCAGACATCTACTTCACATGCAATTAAACGACAGCCTCCAGCAAGGATGCTGTTCTTTCACATAATCAGCGCATCCCAAAAGCACCAACACAGTGGGGAACACACTGAGCAAACACTGAGGCACTTCCAGGACCTCTAATCAAGCACAGTATAAAGCCCGCACAAGGGCATAAGAGGTCAGCACAATACTCCACACAGGTATGTGGATAATCCTCATTTCAGCTGTACATCTGATCTAGTAACCTGCATGGAATATTCCGCTTCAGTTAAAAGAATTGTTAGTGATAATATATGGCTTCTTTGTTGGTCAGATAATCTGGTTTTAGTCATGCTTGTCAAGTCCATCTGAATCAGGACACTGTTTGGACAGACCTAGGTCTAACAAATGGCAGGTCTGCAACACTGTTATTCTGGTGCTACTGCAAACAATGGTAATAGAACAGAACGTTCTGCTCTGCACAGCTGAAATCCAAGTGCACAGTAGGCACGAGATACAGGGCAGTGATGAGAATGTTCACGCAGGCCAGACATTTTTTCCTGACATCACGGCAGTTCTGAATTACTGCCCAAGGCTCTTCTGTAATAGTAAAATGGAAACCTTAAGTTTCTAATAGTAGCTTGTCTAGTATCAAAGAACAACCATGACACAATAAGGACTATACATTTGTTTGCTCCTGTATTATCTTTAGGTTGACAGTACAAATATACCTTGCAACATTACATGAGACCTCGGTTCATCGCTTGATGTATCTGGATACTGATTTATAAAGTAGTGCTGAAGTGATGCAACCCCCTTTTTTTCTTCATTTAGAACCAACATTCTTCAACTTTCAGATGGAGGCAAGACGCGTATTTTCAAGGACAGGTCACTATCCCTGGCATCTGGCAAAATTCTAATTTGGACCTCAGCATAGCCCACCTCATCACAGTAACGCTCTTGTTCAGTTTCCACCAGCTCCAACTATGCAGTTTTTTTCCTGTCCTGATCTTGTAAGACTGGTAATAAAGAAGGGTACCTGGAAGCCATAGGTGATTAATTCCTACACCCACACGTTCTGTGCGTACAGATATACACACACAGTCCCAAAGAACTTAAGGATTGTTTGGTGATCTTTGGGATTAAGGATGCTGTATAAATAGGTTTCAAGGATGTTCTCTATCTTTTAATTTTTCAGTATAAATATACTTGTGAAGGTAATTCCCAGGAAAGAAGCTGAAGAAATCCAAATTGTAAACTATTGTTTTTATGTTCTTCCTTCCTTTGGAAACTCACCTGACAGTTTTCAACAGCTGTCTTAAAGAAATCATCCAACAGCAAATTCTGGAGCTGTGGGTTTCGATCAAAAGCATCTTTGATTTTTCCCAGGAACACGCTAAGGCAGAACACATGTAAATCAGGAATAAAATTTCACAGCTTTCAACAAAGGCCCAGAATCCAAAGCTTAACAGTGCTGAAACGTGACTCAGTCAGACTCAGATTCCAAGCACTGAGAAAGATGCAAACAAAACAAAGACCAAAGAAAATCTGCACTAGCTAAGCCACCAGAAAACTCGCTTAATCTGCTAACCTTTAGGGCTGTCCACAGAAACAGCCTCCCAGTACCTTAACAGCAGATTAAATCCATGGATTTTCCAAGAAAATCTCTCATCTTGTCAGTCTAGCACTGCATAACTAAATTGCCTGCTCTTCTCCCCTCAGCAACTGAATAGCCTGCTCATCTTACCTTCTGATGATGCAGCCTCCCCTCCACATCAGTGCAATGCCACCGTAATTCAGTGTCCAGCCAAATTCTTTGGCTGCTTGTCTCAGCAGCATGAAGCCTTGAGCATATGAGATAATCTTGGAAGCATACAGGGCCTAAAAAAAAACAGATACCCATTCCAAATGAAGTCCCACAAAGTTGAAAGTGAAATTTCAAAGTCCACATCTCATTAGGGTCGAGTACAGGAGGCACATTCCAGCTACCTGGGAACCAAAATATCCTTTCCAAGTTTTGGAAAATTGAGAGAGAAATCAAGAGCTATTATCGCCATTACAAAGATGGGAGTGTTGAGGGGTGAAAAAGTAAGCTCCTGTGCATGAATTATGACCTCTGCACCCCAGACTGTGGCTTAGACTTGAATTCCTTCAGGACTGTTTTTTGGTCAGGAAAGGAACTGGTCACATTATGCATTGTGAACACCACCAGACAATGCACAATGGGACTGCTGGAACCAATTGTCGTGAAATGTAA